CCCCGATGAACACGTTCCGTCGGTATAATCATCGGTGATTCTACTAGTGGAAGTGTCACGTCCCTGTACGACTATCCCAGCTTGAATCCCTCGATAATTCCGTTTGTATAATCATTTGAAAAAATCAAAGTCATCACGTCGTTGCAACTTTCAAAAAAAAAATGTCTCGGCCGTAGGTAATACGGTGAGTATGTATCAACGAACGTATTCCATCTGTATATACCAACCATCTTCCCTACAAGCTATATTGGTCGGTGAATGTCTATTATTTTAAAATAATATATTCTTTTTAATATTAAAAAATTAAAATAAAATAAAAATATTAAAAAACTAATTTAAAATTTTATCCAATCTTCGTTCAAAACCCAATACCAAACATGACATTCTCCATGAATATCTATTATTTGAATTTGAAAAAACAAAACAACGAGGACTTTCAATCCTCAGAGCTTTGCTATCTCTGAATCATGTGTATTAGTGATAAAGCAAAATCTCTCTTTAAAAGAGACTTCATAACCATTTCTTAGCATTTGTACAACACTAAAAATTTTTTGATCTAGTTCTCGAATGTAAAGAACATTTGTGATGGTTTTAATACCTCTATTTGTGTTGACCGCAACAATGCCTTTTCCCTTAGCCTGCACAATATCTCCATTTCCCAACTTGATCTTTGGTTGAACTAATATATCAATAGAACAAAAAATTAACAAAAACGGAGACATATGACTAGTGCAATCACTGTTTAGAGGTATATTCAGTTCAGAGGTATTGCTAGCTTGTGATGCCATAAACAGATGCTCCTCATCATTTTTGCCTTCTTCAAAAACATTTGCTTGTTGTTGTATTTATTGTTGTGATTGTTTCTTCTTGATTCTACAATATTTCTCATTATGGCCAAGATTATTACAAAACATACACTGGAGAGAAAGTTTACCTTTGAACTAGCAATCTTTCTCAAAATGGTTAGTTCTTTTGCAATAAGAGCAAGGTGAGAAAATCTGTCTTTTTGAAGATATACATGTCTTTCCCTTATTGTTTGCTTGAAAAGCTCCTTCAATAGCCTCATCATCTCTCATTTGAACCC